TTTGGAAAAGTGGAGTCACCCCCCCAAGTGGTCTTTTTTTTTCACATTTTCAAAAAATTTCGGGGAAAAAAAAAAAAAAAAAAAAAAACATTACGATACCACATAAGATTAGATTAAAGCTTCAAAGCTAAACATATTAAACATTTGAATTAAATCTGTCTCATGTTTTATCTTAATCTATACCAGAAACACCTAAACTATATGACTTACAGCACACTGGCGCCATGTTAACGATGAAATACAGGTAAAACTGCGCCTCCAACCTATGATGTGCCTCAGAGGATAACATTTTTTTTTGCTGGATTAAGTGTGTGTTGCTGAAATTTGTGTTTTGTGTGGCGACAACTGCAAACCCTCCTTTTGCAGCGCCCTGCTGTTTCTAAGTTTAGGATTACCTGATGTTCCTTCAGCAGTCTCTCGTACTCCCGGGCAAGTCCCTCCATCTGCTTCTTAGTCCCATCTGCCTCTGCCTGAGACTTTTCCAAGGCTACAAAAGATGCAATCACACATTAAAACTAGATCATCTGTGCATTCAACTGCTTCTAAAGGCAACACTGAACCTTCCTTATGTCAGGATGTAAAAACTACGGTAGCAACATTTAGATTTTGTTTTCCTGGCTATTTGTGTTACGCAGTTAAATTTTATTAGCCACAATGATCTCTTAGTTTAGCCAAAACATATCATCTTCCTTTAAAAAAAAAAAAAATCTACTCTTCTTTACAAGTTTAATTGTTACAAACTCACTTGAAAGGTGTATTTTACTCCTTAGATTGAATGCATTTTATTAATAGGTCAAGATATTAGATTTTTTTGTTAAATAACCTAACAGACTGGTTGATTCAAGTCATTTAAAAGTAGCTTATAGCTGCTGCACATGCAAATAACATGAAAATGATATGAAAACTAACCGTTTTCAGAGGACTTCAGCTCGTCTTTCAGCTTGCCCACTTCCGTCCTCAACAGCTCCATGCCCTCTGCTGTGGCCTTATCGCCCACTCCTTCCATCAGGGTCTGAAATAAAAGGAAAACCTTAGTTTAACAAAAGCAAAGACATCAAACTCAAACACAACTGAGTGAACAAACTGAAAAAAAAAAAAAAAAAAAAAAAAAAAAAACGGCCCCACAAAAAAGGAAAAAAAAGGTAAACAAAAAAAAAAAAAAATTTTTATTTCATTTTAAAAAGG